TAGCCTCATTGTCTCCGAGTTATGACATCTACTTTTATATTTATCCAAACTCATTCGAGTGAATGACGAAAAATCAGAATTAGGTTTGACAGATTTTCTTTCTGAATGCAATCCCTTCTTCCACCCTCTGCTGAAGACAACATCTTAATTACTTTTTCTGATATTTCGCTGGATTGAACCCCTGCCACTGTTTCCAAAATTTCCCAAGATTTTCCCACCTTTTCCAAATAATTTGGCTGTCGAGCGGGAGAGGTAGGGCGTCGGGGGAGGGGGGGAGAAAGATGTAAGAGGAAAATCACGAAAAGTCAACCTCCACTCTCACCACTGGAAATTTGGTTTAGAAAGGCCAGAAACTAAATACGAAATACGACCCCCTCCCAGCAATGAGCAAGTACGACCCCCCCCCTTTTACAACGTCCGTGAAGCGAGAAAAATCAACTATCAAAATAAATTTTTCTCAGCCCAAATACGACCCCCTCTCCTGGCGGCCAAATACGACCCTTATTATATTAGTAATATAAATATCCCCCCCCCCCTGTTCTGGATTCCCCAACAACGATGTGCCCTGTTTTACCCCCGTGGGGTCAACCGTGAAATTCACAACAACCAGTGCAGAAGCGCGATATTGTTTGGCGTTAAACTAGTCACGTACAGCTCAGCACGCAAATCAATATAATGCGAAACCAGCTGGACATCAAAATCTCATGTCATTATTAGTATCTGTGGAGTTACTGTTGAGCGTATGTAAATGAGGTATTTAGTAAGAAGGAAACCAAAAATTAGAGGATGAAATGGTAGTTATCTCTTATTTCTTCTTCACATTCTCCACGAAACTAGGTTGGTTTACTTTACATTAAGGCTTAGAGATTGTCCTCGTTCCCATCATTTATCTTATCGCCTCAGACCAGAGTCATTACGAACAGAATTGGAGAACTGGCTTCATTTAGATCAAAACCACTGGAATTCGGAGCTGTAAGAAGTACACAAAGCGACTGATTTTACGTTTTGTCTCACCCCCTGGGGATATCTGACTCTTGGTAATACTTATGGTTTATTCCATATGTGGTTTAGATAGTGAGTCGACCATAGAAGTGCGGGCATTTGAGGGCTAATGCCGTTTGGACTCCAGAAATTTCGGCACCGAGCTCATTTTTAAATTGCCTAAGTCACCAAATCCGCTAAAAACTTGTATAGGGGTAGTTTAACATCCTGATTACGAATATGACATTCATTCTTGGCGCTGGCGCTAATGGATGACA